TGAGAACTCTCTTTGCCTCTTAATTGGAGAAGCGCTTTCCTGTTTTTTCTTGACATTTTTAAGCCCAAAACCCCTTTTAAATTATCAAATGATCCCTTCCTGGGGTTAAATTTTCCCTTTTAGCCTTCACCTTCCTTTTTCTTTAAGTTGTTAGATGACTTCGTTTTTCTTAGTCATTAGGATGCCTTTCTTTTTAGCAATCCTTTCACCCCCAAAAAAAGCTGTAATTTTCAAACAAATAAAAAGGATTTTGCAAAAAGTGCAAGGTTTTTGCACCGCTGGCTTAGGCAGCAAAGTCTTCACATTTTTTTTTTTTTTTACAATTATCCTTACACTGGAGTCATTTATCTTGAAATAGTGGGCAACTGCAGCTGCAGACCTGACTCTACCATACATCAAGTAATTCAACTTCATGACTTTTCTCTGCTTCTTGGGAGCACTTCCAGCATCGCTGGATGGGTATACCTGGAGAAGGTTTTGAGGATCAATGCCCCTGCAGCTCTGTCTGTGACCAGGCCTCATGGTGGACCAGAGCCTGATCAACCAGGTTCCCTTATGTTACGAAAAATACACGAGAACCACGATAGAAAACTTTTTAATGTGATACACAATTATTGGATACAAACTGCTCACGAAGTCATGATTAGCATCACACGGCGTTTTAAGTGGATACTCGCAACACTGCAATAGCAACAGGAGATGGTTATGAAATTATTACAGTAACACAGTGTGTACTACAGTTAATTTTATGCAGTTATGATTTAAAATTGCATCTTTACGTTTCTTTACATTTCTCGATTGTGAATGGCGCTATGTATGATCTGTAAGTGTTATGATAAGTTTTAACTTTTTATAATAGATTTGTATATATTTTATGGTAGTAAATGATAAAATAGACTAATATCTACATATATTGTATGCATTTATGACATACCTAACTTTTTCTTAATATTTTTGATATTTCTAGGCTATGCAGTTTGTCTGAGTTTATTCAAATTGTCACAAATCTCAAAAAAATTTTGCAATATATTAACCCCTTGACTGTCGCAACCCCCAATCCTGAGGTCTCCTGGTGTCGCAAAATTTCAAAAAAAAAAAAAAAAAATTCTTATGAAATGATAGAGAATCTTTTCCCGATTGTAATGATACAAAAAAAAAAAATTTGGTGGAAAACTAATGGAATTACGTTCTCGCGAAGTTAGCGACCTCGGCGATATTTACAAATTGGCAATTTTGCCCACTTTGAGCCCTATTTTCGACTAATTCCATTGTTTCAGTCGACCAAATTCATAGCTATTTCTTTAGAACTCCGTTTTTTCTATCGACTGAGTACAAAAAACTGCCCATTTACCAATTTCAACTACCCAATAACGTGGTCAGAAATTTGCAATTTGGCCAATTTCACGAAAATTAAAAAATATGACAATTTCAAAATAAGGTCCAGAATGAACAATGCAGACATTCCTGGCTCTAAAATAACATTTTCTTTGTTCATCACTCATGTCTCCAGGCCCCTCTGATATTACTCTTGCTTTCTATTTTAAATTTTTATTCAGACAAAAAATAGAAGATTTACTATTATGCAGACTACTGCAATACTGTAATAATTGTATAAATAACATCAACCCATTCATGACTGCATATTAGAATGGCTAGTTGGACATTTATTGGACAATGACAACATTTGTTTACTTTTGAACATCGGCAAAAATCAAACATTTCCGCTACTTTGAGCTCCATTTCCAGGTTCTTTTTATAGAAAAATCAATCAAAATTACCTCTACTTCTGTAATATGTTTTCCATTCTATCAAATGAGACCAAGAAAACGAGAATACAACCATAAATACAGTGGACTCTCGACATTCGATACTAATCCGTTCCTGAGAGCTATCGAATGTCGAACATATCGAAAGTCGAATTAATTTTCCCATAAGAAATAATGGAAATCAAATTAATCCGTGCAAGACACCCAAAAGTATGAAAAAAAATGTTTACCACATGAAATATTAAGTTTAATGCAATAAAATAATTACAATAACAGCAATAACAATACATTAATAACAATAGAATAATTGACACTTACCTTTAATGAAGATCTGGTGATGATTCATGGGATGGGAGGAGGGGAGAATGTCAAGGTTGTTACTGTTTAGAAGGGGAATCTCCTTCCATTAGGACTTGAGGTAGCAAGTCCTTTTCCAGGGTTACTTCCCTTCTTCTTTTAATGCCACTAGGACCAGCTTGAGAGTCATTGGACTTCTGTCGCACAACATATCTGTCCATAGAGGTCTGTACCTCTCGCTCCTTTATGACTTTCCTAAAGTGGTTCACAACATTGTCAGTGTACAGGTTGCCAACACGGCTTGCAGTAGCCGTGTCAGGGTGATTTTTATCAAAAAAGGTTTGCACTTCAAGCCACTTTGCACACATTTCCTTAATCTTTGAAGTAGGCAACTTCTTCAATTTCTCTCTCCCCTCCTCTGAAGCAGTTTCCTCAGGTCTGGCCTCTTGCTGTTGAAGATGATCTAGCAGCTCATCAGTGGTTAGTTCGTCATTGTCCTCCTCCACCAACTCTTCCACATCCTCCCCACTAACCTCCAACCCCAAGGACTTCCCCAATGCCACAATGGATTCCTCAACTGGCATACACTTCTCAGGGTTAGCCTCAAAATCCCTTTTGTCTACACATTCTGGCCACAGTTTTTCCAAGCAGAGTTCAAGGTCCTCTTAGTCACTGAGGATATTAAAGTGATCCTTCCAAAACTCTTTTAGAGTCAGTTGAGTTTCTGTGGTCACTACAAAGCACTTTTGAAACATAGCTTTTGTGTACAGTTTCTTGAAGTTGGAAATGACCTGCTGGTCCATGGGCTGCAGGAGAGGAGTGGTATTAGGAGGCAAAAACTTGACCTTAATGAAGCTCATGTCCGCAGAAATTCGCTCTGCCACGTCTGAAGGATGACCAGGGGCATTGTCTAATACCAGGAGGCACTTAAGGTCTAATTTCTTTTCAGTTAGGTAATTTTTCACAGTGGGGGCAAATGCATGGTGTAACCAGTCATAGAAAAAGTCCCTAGTGACCCATGCCTTACTGTTTACCCTCCACAGCACACACAAATTAGCCTTGAGGACATTCTTTTGCCTGAACACTCTGGGAGTTTCTGAGTGATACACCAATAAAGGCTTCACTTTGCAATCACCACTAGCATTGGCACACATTAACAAGTAAGCCTGTCTTTCATAGGCTTATGTCCTGGGAGTGCCTTTTCCTCCTGAGTAATGTAGGTCCTGCTTGGCAATTTCCTCCAAAACAGGTCTGTTTCGTCACAGTTAAACACTTGTTCAGGTTTCAATCCTTCAGCCTCTATGTACTCCTTGAATTCATGCACATATTTTTCAGCCGCTTTGTGGTCCGAGCTGGCAGCCTCACCATGCCTTATCACATTATGTATGCCACTACGGTTCTTAAATCTTTCAAACCAACCTTTGCTGGCCTTAAAGTCACTCACATCAGCACTAGTTGCAGGCAATTTCTTTACCAAATCATCATGCAACTGCCTAGCCTTTTCACAAATGATCTCTTGAGAGATGCTGTCTCCTGCTATCTGTTTTTCATTTATCCACACCAATAACAGTCTCTCAACATCTTCTAACACTAGCGATCTCTGTTTCGAAAACAAAGTTGCCCTTTTGCAACAACAGCTTCCTTGATTGCCGTTTTCCTGCTCACTATAGTAGAGATGGTTGATTGGGGTTTACTATACAACCTGGCCAGCTCCGACACACGCACTCAACTTTCGTACTTTGCAATTATCTCTTTCTTCATTTCAATAGTCATTAGCACTTTTTTTCTCGAAGGCTTGGCACTAGAAGCTTTCTTGGGGCCCATGGTTACTTATTTTGCAGAAACAAGCACCAAAAAAAGTGATAATATGGAATGTACCGAATGTATCCTTAGATGCGCACATGCTAGCTGTCTTGTAAACACTGGCACACACGGTGCAGTTCAGGCCACACGTGGACACATCTTGTACGAAACAAGACGAATCATATAGAATGTCGGGTTTTCCATCGAATGTTGAGGCGAAATTTTTGCATTAAAATGCATCGAATGTCGGATTTATCGAATGTTGGGGGTCCACTGTACTATACAAAAATAGACCACAAAGTCGGCATTTTAATTAAAAAAAAACGGTCGGAGTTTTTTTCTCTCATTATGCACTGCGTGCTCCAGGATTTTTTTTATATGGTGCACACTGACCACACAGATCCATTCTCTCACATATGGGCCTACCAGCTTTCTCCTTCTTGATTTGAAGCCGCTAGAATTTATGAGTACGTATATATACATCAAACACGGTACCTCGTAAGACGTATATACATGGCCATGACAGTCAAAGGGTTAATTGAAAAAAATCCGCGTATAAGCAGTCCCACACAGTTTAAACCCATGTTGTTCAAAGGCCAACTGAAATCAACTTTGTTTCAGATTTTGTCTCATTTTGTATTTTAGAGGCCATATCTCTTTAACCTCTCTCTAATGAAAACAATATGTTTAAAATGAGTTGGGCAGGAAATCCATTGAGAACATTTTGAATGAAATCCTATGGCTACTTTTCAATTTAAGAATCAAGTGTCAAGTCAAAAACAAAATGGAGCACTACAATATGATGGGAGTACAATTGTGTGATTAACCTATGTGGATACAAAAGGAGATCCCAGGGAGAGGTGGAAGCTGTACATTTTGAATTCTAACTGCAAACAAGAAACTGGAAAACTTCATTCAATAGAAGTTCAATATTGTCATTAAAGGTATCATGGGAAAGTACTAAATACCAGTACCTAGGAAACAGGAGGTAATCAGGTTGATTTATGAAAGGAAGGGTACCTCCAATTCTCTGGATGAAGACCAATTCATCACTCTTAAAAGCAGTCTCTTAGAGGGTTATAAAGCATAAGCTACAACACAAATTTTAAATAAATTGGTGCCACTGCTTCATACCTGACACAAAAGCCCACATTCCTGCTTGTCGATTTTCAAAGTGGAAGAAAAACACCCCAAATGCTGACCACCCTGCTATCACCCCAAGTAATGCAGTGAAGATGTTGAAGTACATGCAACAACCACTACGACGGGCCATAATGGGAGGAGGGGTCTGGAAGTCTACCTGAAATTTTAAAACATTCCCTTATTAAAAATTACATTTTATCTGAAAAATTTTCAATATGCATATGGCATAATGGACAGGGAAGGAGGAGTGGATTATATTGCAGTTTTTGAACTGTAGTATTGGCAAGACAGTGATGGAGTGTGTGATGGTGAAAACTGTTTCTTCTTTATTGGGTCGCCCCACCTTGGTGAGAAATGCTTGATATGTTAAAAAAAATCTGAAATGAAGTTAGCATATTGTCTGCTGAACAGGACAGTTGATCAAATGTAGGACTGTCAGTATGAGCTGACAATACTTGCAGAATGCAACCAGATGCCCCTCAGTGAGGGTCTAGTGTGATAAATGCTCAGATGTGCAAGTGCTGTTTCACACAATTCAATAATGGTAGGGCAAATGGTCAGAAGCTTAATTGTGGCTAAACATAAAGCAGCTTGTTTATCACTGAGTACCAGTGACATGGCTAACTCACAAAAGAAAGGCTGGTACTGCAAAGTAATCAAAGACTAGGGCAAGTACAGGATGATGATAATGAAAAACTATAGAATAAAGCTACAACTGCAACACTTAGGACATTGAATTAGGAGATGTTTTGTTTACTTGAGGCTTTTTCAATCCTATACAGAGAACAGAAAAGCATAATATATAGGGAAGAAATTCAGGTGAGCTAGGTAGGGTCAGGCATATAGTGGTTGGTCTGGGTGTAGATCACCTTCAAGCTAATTAAGTACTAGATCCAGGAATTGTAACAAGACCAACTACATACTGTACAGTAGTAACTGAAGAAACTGTAGCTAATGTCCTCAACTTTTCATGTGGTAAGGTATTTAAATTGTATTTTGGGGTAATAGTGTGACCAACTTGATTATTATTATTATATTTATTATTATTTATTATCACACCGGCCGATTCCCACCAAGGCAGGGTGGCCCGAAAAAGAAAAACTTTCACCATCATTCACTCCATCACTGTCTTGCCAGAAGGGTGCTTTACACTACAGTTTTTAAACTGCAACATTAACACCCCTCCTTCAGAGTGCAGGCACTGTACTTCCCATCTCCAGGACTCAAGTCCGGCCTGCCGGTTTCCCTGAATCCCTTCATAAATGTTACTTTGCTCACACTCCAACAGCACGTCAAGTATTAAAAACCATTTGTCTCCATTCACTCCTATCAAACACGCTCACGCATGCCTGCTGGAAGTCCAAGCCCCTCGCACACAAAACCTCCTTTACCCCCTCCCTCCAACCCTTCCTAGGCCGACCCCTACCCCGCCTTCCTTCCACTACAGACTGATACACTCTTGAAGTCATTCTGTTTCGCTCCATTCTCTCTACATGTCCGAACCACCTCAACAACCCTTCCTCAGCCCTCTGGACAACAGTTTTGGTAATCCCGCACCTCCTCCTAACTTCCAAACTACGAATTCTCTGCATTATATTCACACCACACATTGCCCTCAGACATGACATCTCCACTGCCTCCAGCCTTCTCCTCGCTGCAACATTCATCACCCACGCTTCACACCCATATAAGAGCGTTGGTAAAACTATACTCTCATACATTCCCCTCTTTGCCTCCAAGGACAAAGTTCTTTGTCTCCACAGACTCCTAAGTGCACCACTCACTCTTTTTCCCTCATCAATTCTATGATTCACCTCATCTTTCATAGACCCATCCGCTGACACGTCCACTCCCAAATATCTGAATACGTTCACCTCCTCCATACTCTCTCCCTCCAATCTGATATTCAATCTTTCATCACCTAATCTTTTTGTTATCCTCATAACCTTACTCTTTCCTGTATTCACCTTTAATTTTCTTCTTTTGCACACCCTACCAAATTCATCCACCAATCTCTGCAACTTCTCTTCAGAATCTCCCAAGAGCACAGTGTCATCAGCAAAGAGCAGCTGTGACAACTCCCACTTTGATGTGTGATTCTTTATCTTTTAACTCCACGCCTCTTGCCAAGACCCTCGCATTTACTTCTCTTACAACCCCATCTATAAATATATTAAACAACCACGGTGACATCACACATCCTTGTCTAAGGCCTACTTTTACTGGGAAAAAATTTCCCTCTTTCCTACATACTCTAACTTGAGCCTCACTATCCTCGTAAAAACTCTTCACTGCTTTCAGTAACCTACCTCCTACACCATACACTTGCAACATGCCACATTGCCCCCCAAATCCACCCTGTCATACGCCTTTTTCCAAATCCATAAATGCCACAAAGACCTCTTTAGCCTTATCTAAATACTGTTCACTTATATGTTTCACTGTAAACACCTGGTCCACACACCCCCTACCTTTCCTAAAGCCTCCTTGTTCATCTGCTATCCTATTCTCCGTCTTACTCTTAATTCTTTCAATTATAACCTCTACCATACACTTTACCAGGTACACTCAACAGACTTATCCCCCTATAATTTTTGCACTCTCTTTTATCCCCTTTGCCTTTATACAAAGGAACTATGCATGCTCTCTGGCCAATCCCTAGGTACCTTACCCTCTTCCATACATTTATTAAATAATTGCACCAACCACTCCAAAACTATATCCCCACCTGCTTTTAACATTTCTATCTTTATCCCATCAATCCCGGCTGCCTTACCCCCTTTCATTTTACCTACTGCCTCACGAACTTCCCCACACTCACAACTGGCTCTTCCTCACTCCTACAAGATGTTATTCCTCCTTGCCCTATACACGAAATCACAGCTTCCCTATCTTCATCAACATTTAACAATTCCTCAAAATATTCCCTTCCATCTTCCCAATACCTCTAACTCTCCATTTAATAACTCTCCTCTCCTATTTTTAACTGACAAATCCATTTGTTCTCTAGGCTTTCTTAACTTGTTAATCTCACTCCAAAACTTTTTCTTATTTTCAACAAAATTTGTTGATAACATCTCACCCACTCTCTCATTTGCTCTCTTTTTACATTGCTTCACCACTCTCTTAACTTCTCTCTTTTCTCCATATACTCTTCCCTCCTTGCATCACTTCTACTTTGTAAAAACTTCTCATATGCTAACTTTTTCTCCCTTACTACTCTCTTTACATCATCATTCCACCAATCGCTCCTCTTCCCTCCTGCACCCACTTTCCTGTAACCACAAACTTCTGCTGAACACTCTAACACTACATTTTTAAACCTACCCCATACCTCTTCGACCCCATTGCCTATGCTCTCATTAGCCCATCTATCCTCCAATAGCTGTTTATATCTTACCCTAACTGCCTCCTCTTTTAGTTTATAAACCTTCACCTCTCTCTTCCCTGATGCTTCTATTCTCCTTGTATCCCATCTACCTTTTACTCTCAGTGTAGCTACAACTAGAAAGTGATCTGATATATCTGTGGCCCCTCTATAAACATGTACATCCTGAAGTCTACTCAACAGTCTTTTATCTACCAATACATAATCCAACAAACTACTGTCATTTCGCCCTACATCATATCGTGTATACTTATTTATCCTCTTTTTCTTAAAATATGTATTACCTATAACTAAACCCCTTTCTATACAAAGTTCAATCAAAGGGCTCCCATTATCATTTACACCTGGCACCCCAAACTTACCTACCACACCCTCTCTAAAAGTTTCTCCTACTTTAGCATTCAAGTCCCCTACCCCTACTAGGGTAAGTAAATAAGTATGTTTGTTCAGGTATACACAAATATGGTTACACAGATTTATCATACATAGCAGCATATGTAGAGAACCTATGATAACCCAAAAAAAGTCAAAGTGACTTTTTTTCAAATTGGGGGCCCCTTACAGCACTCCCAGGGGATCAACTTGAAAGGATGCATTTTTTTAACTATATGAAATACACATGGAAAAAATTTTATCAAAAATTTAATTTCCCCGCCTGATGTCAAAAAAATTTTACATAAATAAAGGTTAACGGTAAATCAACTAACACTAATTATTGTACCCGCAAAAAAGGGTTTTGAAACTGTTTCCCAACCGTACTCACCAAATTTTGTATTCCCCCTATTTGTGGTTGCAGGGGTCCCAATCCCCACCCTGGGCCCCGCCTCTTCGCTGATTTCTACTAGGTCCTCTCTCTCCCTGGGCCCCCCCCCTGAGCTCTATCATTCCCCCACCTTAAAACATTTAGGGGTTTCCCCCCTTTCCCCTAGTCCAAATTTTTAGGCTATTCCACGGCCTACCCACTCTAAAGACTGAAAAAAATACTTTCCTTAAAATCCCCCTTTTATTCATCCGGTTTTTCCAAATTCCCAATTTTGACCTTTGTGCTGTGTCCCCCCTTTTCTGGAAAATCCTTCTTTTTCTACCCCTTTTCTATTCACGCAGTAAATTTTTTTTCGTTATATGTCTCCCCTGACCCCCCGTCCCCCAGTTTTCGTCAGGGCCCATTTTCCCCCAACCTTTTTTCGTAGACAAAACCCCAGCCCCTGGGAAATAGTCTTGTTGCAAAACCCTTTTTTCTTTCTCTAATTTCTTGACGGGGGCTTGACTAGGGTTTGGGTTCCAAACTGGTGCGCCTTTCCCATATGGGGGCCCGACCCTAAAAAGGTATACAGAGTCTTGGGAAAGAAAGCCCTTACTGAGGTATCAGAACGCCCATCCTAGGTTTGCCAGGCCCCCAAACCCGCAGCAGTTATCTGGGTTGATGTGCGCCTCAGGAGATATGCTAGGTGTTTATAAATCCCCCCCCCAGATCTTTTTCCTTTAGTGGGTTTTCAGTCTTTGGCCATCAAAAATATATTTTGTCTGGGTCTTTTTTGCCCTTTTCCCCAAAACTTCAAGGGCGGGGGGGGGGGATTTGGCAGGGGTTTAAAATTTATGGGCCAAATTTTCTGGGGGCCAGGGTTTTAGCCCTTTCCCGGTTTTCCTTTGGGAGTCTGCCCCGATCCCCCATCCGTTTTATTCTTCTCAAATTTTCTTCGCATCATCTGCAAACAAGGCACTTCTAGGCCCATCCCTTCCGTTAGTCATTTTAAATATACCCAAAAACAGCACAGGTCCTAGGACTGACCCCCCGTGGGAAACCCCCCTTGTCACAGGGGGCCCACTCTGACACCCCGTCGCTTACCATGACTCGTTGTTTGGGCCTCCCTTCAGATTTTTCTCTAAACCATTGCAGTTTCCCCTCCCGTTATGTGGCCTGATCCCTAGCTTTGCAGTAACCTTTTTGTGAAAAACGGGTCGAAGGCCTTCTTGGCCCGTCCAAAAATATCAGTCGATCCACCTCTCTCTCTCTTTCTTCTTCTGTCCCCCTTTTCATAAAACTCCCAGTAAAGGGTTTTTGACACAGGTTTTTTTCCCTTTCCCCGAAACCGTGCTGGTTGTCAATTTAAAACTTGTTTCTTTCCAGTGCCCCACCACTCTCCTCCTGATGACTTCCCCCATTTACCTGCCCTATTAAAACACGTTAGTGATACAGGTCTGTAGTTTAGTGGGGCCCCATGTCT